AGGTAGACATGATATCAGAATATTGGTTTTGGTTATATTAAGTTTAAGGTGTCTAACTGTCATCCAGTGGAAATGTCAAGTGGACAGTTGGATATGTGAGTCTGGAGTTCAGAAGATAGTCTGGATTGGAGATAAAAATTTGACTGTTATCAGCATAAGTAGAAGAAAAGTCAGGAAGGCTGAATGAGATCACCAAAGGACTAGTATGTAGAGAAGAGGACCAAGGACTGACTCCTAGAGGACTCCAAAGTTAAGAGGCAGGGGAAAAGAGGAGGAGCAGCAGCTGGGATTAGAGGAAAACCAAAAGTGTATTGTGACCTGGAAGCCAAGGAAAGGCGTGTTGGTGATCAATTTTGTCAAATGTTGCTGAAAGATCAAGTGAGGTGAAGAGAGAATTTTGATTGAATTTAGCCATATGGAGGTCACTGTTAACCATGAGGAGGATANCTGAGGTCCTTGTTTTCTTGCTAGCTCTTTGCTGAAGTCACTCTCAGCTCCTAGAAGTAACCTGCATTTCCTTGACATGTGACTTCCATAGGCAATTCACAACCTGGTGTCTGTGTTTTCTTTGAGGCCAGCCAGGTTGTCTGTCTCTGATGTTTCACCTTCTTTTAAAGGCTACTCTGATTAGGGCAGTCCCACCCAGTATAATCTGAATAATTGCCCTTTTGATTAGCTGAAAGACAACAGATTAGTAACCTAATCATGAGAGTAATATTCTACTACATCACAAGTCAATTCATACTCAAGGGGAGAGAATCATATATTGTGTGCATATGGGGATGGGGGGAGGCAGGCAGAGAAAGACATCCTGGAGGCCCTTTTAGAATCTACCTATCACAGAGAAATTGGTGTTTGAGCATGCATCAAGAAATTGAGAGAGTGAGCCACAGGGTTACTGAGGAAAAAGCACGTCAGGCAGAGGAACAGCCCTAACAAAGGCTATGAAATTGAAGTATTTTGGAATGTTTAAACAATAGCAGTTTTGGTGTGGGGTTGCATAACTGAATAGAACACTAAGGGGATTAGAAAATTGAAATCAGAGACATAATGGAAGATAGGTGATTATATAGGCTCTTGTAGGTCATTATAAGGACTTCTACTTTTACTGTGAGTAAAATTGGTAGGTGGATGGGGCATTTGTGGAGAATTTTTAGCAATTGAGTAATAAAATCTAACACTTTAAATAATTCCTTCTACAGTCTTGCTGAGAATAAGCTGTTGAGACACAGGATGGGAAGCTCATCAAGTTAAAAGGCTATTGCAACAATTTAGGTAAGAGATTATGGGGATCTTGATCTAGGTTATTAGCAGTGGATGATTAAAAGTTGTATTTTGTATGTGTTTTGAAGGTAGAGTCTATTGGTTTGTCTGATGGGATAAACAAGAGGTATGAAAGAAAGAGAAGAATCAACATTAACTAGAAAACTTTCGGCCTGAACAACAGGAAAAATAAAGTTTCGATTTACTGAGGAGGAGTAGACTCTGGGTGGACAAGGTAGACATGATATCAGAATATTGGTTTTGGTTATATTAAGTTTAAGGTGTCTAACTGTCNGAAGAGAGAATTTTGATTGAATTTAGCCATATGGAGGTCACTGTTAACCATGAGGAGGATAGATTCATTAGAATGGTGGAGATGAAAAACTCCTGGGTTGTTAAAAATAAATGGGAAAAGAAGAATTTGAGATAAAGTGTATAGACAGTTAATCGAGCAGTTGTGCTAAACAGGAAGCGAGAGTAGAAGCATTAGCTAGAGGAAAGGTGGAGCCATAAGAGATTTTTATTTTTAATGGGAGAAAAAGTATGTTTAATTGCTGATGGAAATGATCCAGTAGAGAGGGAATATCTGATGATATAGGAAAGAAAGGGGAGAATTGTTGGAGGCATGTCAATGCATGGAGGAAGTAACTTGGGATCAGGTGCACGAGGTGAGAGGGGTTGGATTTAGATAGGAGTATTAATAGTCACCTTTCATTAAGGGGAGACAGAAAAGTACATAGGTACAGAAGGTTGTGGTATTCTCTTCTGATTGCTTCAGTTCTCTCAATGTACTAGGAAGCAAGGTCAGCTATGACTGAGCATAATGATGCATGTGCTTAAAATGTGAGGAGGAAGGATTAGTTATGAAATAGTGATCTAGGAGAGCGAGAGAGTAAGCAGACGATGCAAATGGAGTGTGATTGCCAAGCAGTGTAATGGAACTACCTGAGATTCATATTCATTAATTTAATTGAGACCAGTTGACATGCTGTATGTTTTCTCCAGCCATGTTAGTTGCAGGGCCTCCAGAACTAGCAAGGCAGAAAATTATGTATAACCAAGGTTGCAGTTCATCCAAATGAATGTGAATGAGAGAGATAAGGGGATTGGGGATGTAATAAAGAGTTACTGCAATGACTGGTCATGGAATTAAAGCTGGTAAGAAGGGAAAGGAGTATATCAGGGAATAGAGAGAAGTGAAGAGCATATGTGGAGGACCTACTGGACCCTGTGGTAAATTCTTAGCATAAATTAATCCAAGCCTTTCTTCCAAAAAACTGGCATTGTGATGACCCTAAGCCATACTGTATGGAGTGGGGGTTGAACGATCCTAATCTCTAGCTCCTCATAGGCTGTGAGTTACTCCCATCATGATGACTTGTTTTGACAAACTCAAAGCACTTTCATAGTTCCTATTCTCTGGTACACCAATGAAGGAGGAAAGGGCAGGAACTAATATTTCTGTTTTATATCTAGATATACAGGATATACAGAAGTTGGCATAGAGAGGGGATCTCTGGACAAGGTTTTAAAATATACATAGTTGAAATTTACTGTTAACACCAATCACTATTTCTCTGTGTGACACTTTTAGCTTCCTCAGTTCAAGTGCTCAGCAATTCGTGCTGCTTTGTGATTGCTCCATGTTCCCACTGCAGCCTCCCTCCTGAGTTGGCAGGCAATACCCATCCAACCCTCATTTTCTTTTCTTTCAGGCTTCCTTCATTGAAGACTGCCTGTGAATTGTTCAGTCCTGCCAAGCAACACAGTAGCCACTTGGGTAAAGTAATTTCAACTTGGGTTAAGTTCCTAATGTTTTATCTGTTTCAGAGTGGTGGTTTTCAGAATGCTCTTTCCTCAACCCATACTAAAAAACATAGTTTTTGTTATGAGCCAGGTCACAAATACATATACAGTATCTACATACACATCCATATGCAACTGAAACAAAATTTTCTGAAATTATACCCTTACTACCCATGATGCACTCTGATATTTTCTATTGTATTCTATTTAGAAACTTACTGGATGGACTTGCTAAGTTACTTACCAACTACTAATGGTTGATGGACTGTGGTTTGACAATAAGGGGAAATTTTGATTCTAACAATCCAGGTATGTTATAATCAAGGAGGAGATTTAAAAGAGGCTCCATAAAGGTATATTTTTGAAGAAAAAGGCCTATGGTTTGACAATAAGGGGAAATTTTGATTCTAACAATCCAGGTATGTTATAATCAAGGAGGAGGTTTAAAAGAGGCTCCATAAAGGTATATTTTTGAAGAAAAAGGTCTACTTTTTCTCTTTAAATTATACCATATTTATGGTAATGCAAATAAATTATCTTAGGTAATATGCTAGTGAAATAGCCTGGTATACTTAGGAGAAATAAATTGTGGTTTTACCTCCATCATCCTATCCAAAACAAATGGTAAGATACTAAAGAATAAATAAGTCACACTGTGTCTAATCTTTAAAAATACACTTATGGAGTATGTTAAATGAGAATAACAATTAAGAACATATTTGTTAATTTTGATCATCAGTTTCTCATCTCTAGGGCACTGTTACCTTATTTTCTAACGTAAAGACAACTATATAACAATAAGTGCCAGTCATCATTCTAAGAGCTTTAAGAGCAATTCACTTTTTCTAGTAATAACTTCATATGGTTAGAGTTGTTTTATAGTTTTCATTTTACAGATGAGAGAACTGAGGCACAGAGAAATTAAGTAACTTGCCTTAGGTTCCCTAGTAAGTAAGAAAGTCAGGCAGTTTTGTTCCCTGGTCCATGCTCTTAACCACTATCAGATAGCTACTACTACTGCTTAGGGATGGCTAAGTCAGGATTTTGTCATTTTCATAGGTTTCCTAGTGTTTTATGTCCTAACTTTCTTTTTAATCTGCAAGGGAGTCAATAATTTTCTGTTATATTAATAGTTGCCTTGTATTGAGTTCACTGTCCTTATTACTTTTATTAATAATCACTTAGGACACCCATGAAGTAAATGCTTTTGTTATTTCTTTTATTATTTTTCACCCTAGACTACAGGTGAGAAAATTGAGGCCTACATAACCAGATATTCTGAGCGAGATCTTGCAGCTGGTGGATGGTGAAGATAGGTGTCAAAGCCCAAGGCTTTCTGCTCTAGGACTAAGATATTACTCCACTGCTCCCACATCTTACTTCATATTTCCACCTTCTCTCCAGAACACCATATTTACAATGTAGGTTGCCTTTCTATTGACCTTGGCCTCCCACTCTGCTTTCCGTTCTAAACTTTTAACCAGTCCATCCTGACTTTCCACTGCTGCTGCTCTTCTATCACTGAACTCATACCTCTGTGTGGCCAGTGTCTTTAATGAAGCACTCACATTGTTTGCCTTTCAATCACTATCTGCCTTGTTCCTTTGAAACTGTCTCCTTTTATGGTAGAAGGGGTTATTTATTTCCACTAGGAAACTTCATTGTTTAGGTCAGAAGTCCTGGTTTTCTAACAAAGTGCTACCAGCAAGACCTTTATCCTTGGAAACAAGAACACACTTTTCCTCTAAGGGTTACTATTTTTCTATTATAAATCATCCCTCAGATGCAGAAGAGCACCTGTTTTTATTGCTCACTATGTGTGGATTATGCATTTACATTTTTGGAGCACCTCAGCAGGTCTAAAGTATTAATATTAAATCCCCCAGTGATGAAAAAACCCAGCTCAAATGTGCGCCTCTGTGTTATGGGTTACATGAATCTTTTTGGACCAAAATACTAAATAGCTTACAACTCAGTCAGAAATACTGATTTTGCTTTGTTTTGTTTTGTCTTCTCCTAAGAATTCTAGAATTCAGTTTAGAGAAAAAGTGTTCTAGGGTAAATACAAAATATACACTGTTGAAGAGAGATAAACTATAACTATGTAAGATAAATACAATCAAAGATATATAGGGGCATGCTAGGTTTTAAAGTAACTCATAGAGTTATATCTGTGTTTCCTCAAATTGTTCAAAATGATTATTTCAAACCCAAGGACATTGTAGGCAGCCTCCCAAATGAAGCTTATAAAAATATGTGTTTCTTAAACTTTGTGACATATTAGAACTCTCTATCACTCTGAACTGCTTTATTGGGCAATTGTACAGTGTTGTTGCTACAGGTTTCTTATGAGGCTTCTATCATTTCTCCTATTTACTGTATTTGTGGTGAGCCATTTATTGGGATGAGGGAGTGGAAGCGACTTTAAAAATTACTGGGTTTGCATATGGCTCATCATAGATTTAAGTATTTTACAAAATGACTCCTAATTGAGACCTGATAGGATATGTGAATCTCAGTAGCTGAAAAGGAATGGGGTCCAGCTTAGTGGAAAGACCACTGAACATCAGAGGACCCAAATCCTAAACTCCATTCTATTAATAATGCCTGTTTCACATGGGCTTCTCATTTTAATCTCTCTCATGTTCCTTCTCTCTAAAATGGAGTTCAGAATACCTGCCAGATCTAACTCTAGGATTTATTCTCAAGAGCAAGTAAAATGTAAGTGAAGGAGGTTTATACATAGCAAATGAAAGATTCTGTAATTTTATTTCTGAATTTAGTTTGTGTTGGGATTCTGGAACAAACCCTGCAGAAGATGAGAATATTTGCTGTCACTGTCTTCTTTGATTTTTAAGTCCCTATATCTTCAAGTATACTGAATTGTTAGAATATTATACTATTTGTTAAGTATTCAAAATGAAACTTACCAGAAAATCTTCTAAACTTAACAAATATTATCTACTTGATATAGTACCTAAAACTTTTCATGAATTTTAATAAAAATGAGTCATATGGTTTTTTTGGGTATAAATCCACCCATCAATTTGGACGGCATAGTAATGCAGCTGCTGTACATTTTCTTCACAGATTATTTGTAATGTCGTTAGTCACTGTTAGGTCTATTAGTCAGAAGTTTCAAGTCTATAATGAGACCCACTTGTGGCTGTCATTTTTAGTAATCATTTAGAACAAAATGTTGACATACAATTTAGTGTGTTGAAATTCAGCTTTATTCACAGATTTCTCCTGTTCTTTTGCAAATCAACATGTATAATCTCAAAATAACAGTACCTCTCCACATTGTAATACATATTTTGAATGTGTCATTGTATTAATTTTTTGCCCTGTACTATTTCTGTTAATTAATTTTGCCCTTTAACTTTTACTGATCAGTGTGGACTAAATTGTAATTGCAAAATTTCTGTGAAATAATACCAAATTAAGGCTGATAGTGGCATGCTGTGAGTTATTGAGGGCTATTAACATTTTTGAACATGGTAAGTTAATTTAAAACCAGATAGACTTGGAACCAACTTTTGATTTATGTCTAAACTCTAGTTGTGAAGAATTTTGAATATCATATTATGGTTCAAATTTCCTTGCAGTGTCTGATAAAATGCTGGTGGTTTGGAAACATGTAGCCTTACATTATCTCTATCCCATTCTACTGTTCTTAGGAAGTTAAAATATGCAATGAGGTAAGGAATTAAGTATCTCATAAATGTTTGTATTAATTTCTGTAAATGAATTGAAATATTAACTTTAATATAGATTGGCCAGTATTGGTGATTATTTACTTAGTAGGTGAACACATAATCTACATATTTCACACAAAGTACTATATCAGGTGATGAGGGTAGAGAGTGATGAGTAAAATTTAGTTCCTTCTCCCAAGAAACTCAGAATCTGGTAGAGGACATGAACACATAGTCATATGGTGCCAAGAAATCAGTGCCACACTGGAGGTATGCACTAGGACCCTGGAAATAGAGAAGAAAGCATGTGGATCTTCAGGTTTAGAAAAGCCTTCCTGGAAGAGAAGTCTCTTAAGCTAAGTCTTCAAGAATTATTTAAAAAAATCAATGTAATACAGGAAAATGTAAAAATAATCAATTTAGAAGAGCTTGTAATAAAAGTAACAGATCCATTTTCTCTTCAAAAGCTACTTGAATTCCTAGAGGAAAGCTCTTTTAATTATTTTTGCTTGCATTTCTTTTGGTGGTTCCTTCATAATACTAAATTATATGCTTATACTTCCTTTGGATGTTTTAGAGTTGTCATTTTATTACTTCTTCAGGTGATTTTTGTGATAATAGTAATATCCTAATATGAGTACATTACTGTGAGATGATATATCATCCTCCCTATTCTTTCCTCTGCCTTTTTACCTGTATGACTTTCAACCATTTATCAGCTAAGCTATTATTTTTATTTTAAGATTTTATTATTTGTAAAAATAATAAAAAACTTGATATAAAACAGCAACCAAATCTTTTACTCTTTCTCCATAAATTGACTGAAAATTTACATTTTTGGGGACTATGTTGGGTCCTGTACTGTGCTGTGATGGAATGGATCTCTTTTCTTACTATAAATTGCTTAAAGTCATGCCAAAGTTTTATTTTCTCTACATATGATTCATGGCTTTTTACATCACTTTCTTCTGTTTTATTTAGGCTAGCAATTGACTTTTCTCTTTCAAAGAGGTTATATTACCTTAAAGAGGTATCTTTAGTACATTTTCTCCCCTGTATTCTCAAACTGAGGTCTTTTCTTAAATGCCTTCCTCCTGACACTATCCATCCTCCTACTCTAATCCAAATCAATTACCCTCTAGGATTGCTGTACAGCCTCTGTCCAGGAATTTCCTGCACTGCTTTCCTGAGTGGGATCCACCCTTTCTGAATCCCGTTTCTCCTCCTCCTCCTCATGTTCTTCCTCCTTTTTCTTCTTGCTTATTTTTTTCTTCTTTGCTTATTTTCTTCTCCCTTATTTTTCTATGAACATGATATGTTTTTAAGAAAGGATATGTGACAAATACATATCATGTTAGTAAATGCTCTTATTCTGCTGTCTCTGTGCGTGTGCATGTGTGTGAGTGATTGGACTGAGTATATCATTCTAGAGTCAAAAAAAAAATCCTAGTAAACTGGCAGGCATTGATCTATTTTCTTAGTGTTCAATATTGGTGATAAGTTTATATCAATCCAGTCTCATTCTTTTTAAGATAACCTGGTTTTAATTTTGGAAGCTTTTATGATAATCTCTAGGTGTGGGCCTTTATTACAATCATTCCATTTGGCATTTTTCACTTTGAACATTCATATCTTTAAACTCTAGGGAATTTGGTTTTATTAGTTCTCTTTTAATTTCCTCTTTTCCATTTTCCACACTCAGTCTTTTTTGAATTTTTACTATTCAGATGTTGGACCTCCATACTATTCCCCTCTGACTCTTATTTTTCTCTCATGGTTTCTAACTCTGCATTTCTGCTTTATGCTTTAGAAGAGTTCTTCAACTTTATTTTCTAGACCTTAGCTTTTAATTCCACTTAGTTAATGTTCTGTTCTGCATTTTCCAGCTTCTAGTGACATGTCGATATCCCTCATTTGCAGATAATTTCTTTCCTATATTCTTCTCAGTTATGTATTAATTCTGTTTTTGTGCATTTATGTTTTCATTTTAGTGGTGTCTCAGGACAGAAGAGAAAAATAAAGATAGATGTGTCACTGAGATTTGGTATGTTTTTGTAGGGTAACTACAAGCAGCAGCAGGTTCTTCTATGTTGAAGTATTAGACTAGGAATAGTAAAACACATTGATGAAATAATAGCTGTGCATCATGTCATGGAGGACCTTGCGTAAAACTCTACTAAGTATTTTGGACTTTATCTTGTTTTAGTCATGAAAGTAGTATGATCATGTAAGGAAGATATATTTAAAGACTAGATGCAGTGAAGTCTGTTGAAAGGGCTCATATTGGTGATGAAGATCTGATCTAAAGGAGAAAGATCAGAGATAAGATGAGGCAGAAATAATCAAGACATAGTACAAAATAAATTTTCAACATTGTTTAAAAGTATCAAGGAAAGAAGTGCTAAGAAACTCAAATAGGATAAATGCAAAGAAAACTACATTTAGTCACATCATGGTCGAACTTCTGAAAACCAAAGACAAAACGGAAACCTTAGGAGCAGCCAGAAAAAAAAAATTAAAAGAAAAAAAGATATACTACGCTCAAAGGAGTAAATAAAGGCAAAATATGAGTGTTAGTTATCTTATCAAAATAAACAGTGGAATCCAGACTGATTATTAAAAATGCAAAAATAAAATATGTCACAGCTCATAATTAAAGCCTAGTCTTCTTTCTTTCTTTTATTTATTTATTTTTTATTTTTTTTCTTTAGGCAAGCCAAGTG